ATTGAAAAAAAAATTTAACAGAATGAAATCAATTGAGTCTGTACTACCTTGAACAGAATGATCCTATTGTTGTAACAATTTATCAAAAGTATTTTCAATTAAGAGGCTGCTAAAATAACTTAGACTTTAAGAAGACATCTAGGAGAAGTTATATTTTATTAACGTATTTAATTTTATTACAAAGAAAAATTAAGCTTTGGCTAATTTTAGATGAGTATTAACATTAAAATTTAATATATATTTTGATCCTCAAATGTTATGGTAGCCAGAATCTATCCATACGTTGTTTTCCACTTATTTTTTATTCATATCATCCAAATCTTTGTTCCACAGGTCAAAATGGAGAGACTTTTCAAAAATTACAAAAAACAAAACAAAAAAAAAAAAACCAGCAGCTACAAATCGGTTGTTAAATTCATAATAATGAAAAACACATGGATTGATCCCCCTAAATCTGAAGTTTCACAATTTAGGGCAAGAAGGTGTAGAGACATCGGGGCCCTATTGCTGAGCTCAACCTTTTTGGAGACCAGGACAGCTTGCCAGAAGTCAAAACAAGTCAATCTATCTTTTGATAGAATTTTGTTACAGATATCAAGTTATGTTAATTACATGTTATAAGCATTGTCTTGCAGGGGTAGCCAGCTATTTATATTTCAAGTATAAGTTTCACAATTCTGTTCATCTCCTTTAGTGGGTATATAATTGCTTAACAAGTTGCTTCAATGATATGTAAGGCTTGAATGTAATTGTTCCTACTTAGTACTATTTTGAGATTTTAGGAGGTGAAAGAAATAATAGCCCCTTCCCCCCTCCTTAGTTAAAAAGAGAGAAAGAATGAGAGAGCTCCCAAGAGATGGAGTTGAAAGTTTCTTTCATTTATTTATTTTTTATTTTTTAATTTCAGCATATTATGGGGATACAAATGTTTAGGTTACATATATTGCCTTTGCCCCACCTGAGTCAGAGCTTCAAGCGTGTCCATCCCCCAGACAGTGCACACCACACCCATTAGGTGTGAATATACCCACCCCTTTCTCCCCCCTAGCATCTGCCTGACACCTGATAAATGTTACTACTATATGTGTAAAATTTCGACTGATAAAAAACTGGCATTAGAAGAGACGGTTTACAGGTACTGCAGCAATGAAGCTAACACTCTGAACACCCAGACTGAATTTACCCATCTGCAACAGGCTGCTCCGAGTGAGTCTCTCCTATTATTTTGCAGTGGATTTAGGGCACTAGCAGTAGAGCTGACTGCGGGCTTCCACTTGCTAAAGACAGAAGGACCAAAGCTGGGCCCATCCAGCCCCTCCTCCCAGGCTCCGCCCTCTGGTCGCCCACCCTGTTTCTCTAGGAGACCTAAGGGTGGAGCAAGGGACCAGGGGAAGCCCCTCTTCACAGTCACCAGAGGTGTAGGGAAGAAATAATCATAAGAGGTCGGTTCAATCAATTTCCTTATGCAGATTCCATCTTACCAAAGGACCATTCTACCAAAGGAAGTTCATTTATTAAGTAGTAAATATAATTTCAAATTTTAATTAATCAAGGCACACAAAATTAACTGCCAATTAGAGAGGATGAGCAAAAAAATAACCTGTGCTCCCACAAACGAGTTAATACTATTTCAACCAAAAGCAAAGGAATTTGGCATATCATTTAACTTCTGGTAAAAATGTCCTTACGTTTTTGAAATATTTCATCTGCGTTTGAGCTACTAATTACTACTTTGGGGGCCCTCCAGGGATCAGGATGTTATGAATTGGGAACCAACCAGTGTTCCCCTCTTTATCCTCTGAGACTCTAAATCACTTTTTATTCCTTTTACTCGGGCAATTAATTACATTGACTGTTAATGCAAAATAGCAGACAATTTTGCAACTTTCTTAATGAGGTTACATCTCTGGTTAGTAAGTATTAATCAACTTTCCCATATGCTGAGTTCTTGTTCCAAGAAGGTCCTATGTATATTAATAGCAATATTAATAATGGTTCATAGAGAGCTTGTTATATGCACAACACTATACACTTACATTCACTCTGTACTACTCCAACAAAAGTTTAGAAGGCCTAAGTAAACTGCTCACAGACACATAGTTTATCAGTGACAGATCCAGGATTGAAACCCTAGTTCTGTCTTATTCCCACACATGTGCTGCTTTAACTATACAACTACAAGGAAAAGAAAGCTGAATTTATGAACTTTTATGTTATGAACTTTTATGCTCATTTATTGCATGTATAACAAAGGAAAGACAGGGAAATATTTTTCGCCATGAAAGACTTAGTGGGAGTGAGTAAAAAATAACCCATGCTCCCACAAATGAGTTGATATTAGTAATTCATTAATAATTAAATTAATAATTAATTAAAGGTTTTAAGAATTTAAATTTACTATAAGTAAATTTCTCTCTCTCTTTGCCCACTCTTCCTCCTATCTTTTGTTAATACTATATTTTTAGTACTTCTATCAGTGCTAACTTTGCAATTTTAACTATTAGTTTAAAACTTATTTTTCTTGATCCACCACTTTTAGATGGTGTTTCTGGATGCCACTTTATGCCAGTTTTTATTTGTGCATGATTTCTTAGACAGATTTTGTTTTTGCTGGCGTTTTCAATTGCCTTTCTTTCTTTCTTTTTCATATGTATCTATGGGGTACAATGCAAAGTGATTTTTTAAAAAATTCAGGTTATTACTGGGGTACGAAAGTTTTGGTTATGTAAATTGCTTTTGTACCCTTTGAGTCAAAGTTATAAGTGCGCCCATCCCCCAGATAGTGTTCACTGTACCTGTCAGGTGTGAACTTACCCATCCCATACCCCCCCAATTGGTTGATTTCCAATGAATGTTATTTCCATATATGCACATAAGTGTTGACCTATTAGCTCCAATTTAATGGTGAGTATATGTCCTGTTTAGTGTTTGTTTTTTCATTCTTGTAACACTTCACTTAGAAGAATTATCTTCAACTCCATCTAGGGTCATACTAGAGGTATTACTTTGCCATTTTTTATGGCTAAGTAGTACTCCATGGTACACATATACCACATTGTATTAATCCACTCATCTACTGATGAGTACTTGGGTTGTTTCCACATCTTTGCAGTTTGAATTGTGCTGCTATAAACATTCGAGTGCAAGTGTTTTTTTTTATAGAATGTCGTATATTTTTCTTTGGGTAAATGACCAGTGGTGGGATTTATGGATCAAATGCTAGTTTTACTTTTAGTTCTTTGAGGTGTCTCCATACTACTTTCTGTAGAGGTTGTACTAGTTTGCAGTCCCACCAGAATGTGAGTGTTTCTATCTCTTTGCATGCATGCCAGCATTTGTTGTTTTGGGACTTTTTGATAAAAGCCATTCTCACTAGAGTTGAGTGATATCTCATTGTGGTTTTGATTTCCATTTCCCTATTGATTAAAGATGTTGAGCATTTTCACCACTAATTCTTGTGAAATGATTTTATGATCTCCAACTTATGCATCTGTCCCTGGTGTTCTCTTCCTGTCTAGTCCCCAAACTCTTATTCGAGTGTTTTAAAAAAAAAACAAAACCATGAATCTCATCATTTCACATCCTTGTATAAAATCTTTTAATAACTTCCTAATTTCCTTAGGATAAAGTACTTCTCCATCTCATATTACTTCGCTAGGAGATCTAGCCAAACTGAACTTCATGCCTTCTCTCATTTTCATGGATAATTGTGCATGCTGTCCTTTCTGCCTGGGTCACACTCTTCCCCACCATCCAGAGCTGAAATGCCATCTCCTTAGAGGGACATCGCAGGTTTGCATAAAATGTTTGGTCTCCCTGAACTTTCCTCATCACAATGATTCAATATTTGATTATAAATACTTGTTTAATGTTTATATTCCTTTTTCGAATATGTTTTGTGTTACCGAGGACTATTTTGGTCTTGCTCACCAGTATACTCCTGTTACTCAACGAGTACAGTGCTTCAAACATAGCAGATGCTCAATAATTGTTTATTTAAATATATGAGTGAACAAACGGTTAATTGTATGTGTGGGGAGACATAAGATAGTGAGGCAAAAAATAAGACAGGAACATTAAGTTGTTTTCTCAGAAACATGGATGGAGCCATGCTGATATATTGATCTTAGTTTCCCTGTGATGCCCAGTACGCATTTGTGAGATGTGTGGTTGATAGTGTAGTTGCATTGTCTGTGGCCTTGGAACACAGTTGGGGCAGTAGTTTCTTTGGTAGAAAAAAGCATGACCTTGTCCCCATTAACACATCTCTGTGAGGAGATTAGTATTAATACGCAATTACATATTTTTAACAGATGCAATCTATGTAAGATTTGGTGAACCTATATGCAGAAACCCATTCCTCTATGAGGGGTTAACAAATGATTTTTTGACAATTATTGTTGCTATTGCCAATTTTAACAAACTGCAAAGAAAAGTTTGAGAATCCTTGACATACCAACTATTTTAGTAAGTTAAGTAAATTCTCTCTTCTCCACTCTATGGGTCTTGCCAAAAGTGGGAGTAGAAAATCTGGATTCCTTGGCATTTATTGGGTAAACAGCATTTCATTTTTACACAAACACTGACGCTAATTAAGTCTTCCAACATCTGGGATGTAGGTAAACGTTCTGCTAATTTTGCAGAGGAGGAAATGAAATCACAGTGGCCTGGCAGTTTGTCAAGGTCACTGAACAAGGCAGTGTCAGGACTGGGAGCACTGCTCAGGAATTCTTGGCTGTGAATCTTCTGTTCAGCTAAACTACACTCATAAGGAAAAGGCATATTGGGAATATATTCCTCTTTTTATGTTTTGTATCAAACCTAGAAGGCCCAGTAATCTCATGAGAATCCCTGTCTCAATTCTAATCTCAATTGTATGAGTGAGTGGACTCTAGGAAGAATCACATGTGCGTTAACAATGTCACACATTCACGTGAATCAGACTTGTGAAAAATGTTTTTTTGCAATTAGTACCTTTTTTCTCTTCATGTTCTCTCTTTTTCCTTCCTTAAAAATTTATTTCAATCCATAGCGCCTAGCCCTTAAAAAAAAAAAAATTGTTGTGATTATAAAGTGAAGGATAGGCTAGCCAAATAAATGTCACACTTTGTGTTTTTAAACGCCACCTGGTAGTACGTGTTACTTTACTCATATTGTATAAGTCAAAAATATAAGAAATGCTTACTCATCTTTGAAAGAAAAATTGCACCACAATTGCTTAAAAATTTATAGTGCAGGACCTAAGTAATATAAAATAAGTTAAGTCAAATGAAAAATAAATCCACCACTTTTTTTTTTTTTTCTCTTCAATAGCTCTTTTTGACTTAGTGAAGTTTATTGTGGAGAGAGGGAAATTGTCAGGGAAAACCTATGGAGAGTACAGAGGCAGCTGAGAGTAGGTAGAATGATGAAAAGCCTAGATTCTGGGGCTAGAAAACCTCAGTTCCAATTCTACTTGTGCCACAGACATGCCAGGTGACCCTGGGAAAATCTTTTAACCTCTTTGTGCTTCAACGTCCTCGTGTGTAAGATGGGGCTAATACTATTCTTCACCTAATGGGTTCAAGTGAGGGTTAAATGAGTTAGTCTCTATAAAGCATTCAGCAAGCTGCCTGTTATTAAAATTGCTCGAGGTATAATTGCTGTGCAGGTTGAATTGAACATCCCTAATCAGAAAATCGGAAATCTGAAATGTTCCAAAACCTGAAACCTTTTGAGAGTCATGATGCCATAAATGGAAAATTCTGCACTTGACCTCATGCGTGCAATGGGTCGCAGTCAAAATGCATGAAATTATTTTGTTTTGTGCACAAAATTATTTAAAAATATTGTATAAAATTACCTTTGCTGTATATGGTGTGTATTAAACATAAATGAATTTCCTGTTCATTTGGGTCCATTGTGTCTCATCTCCAAGATATCTCATTATCATAGTCATGCACCACATGACAAAGTTTCTGTCAACTACCGACTGCTTATGCGATGGAGGTCCCATAGCATTAGAATACTGTATATTTACTGTACCTTCTCCAAGTGTAGGTACTGTACCTTCTCCAGGTGTAGGTATAAATTAGATACACAAATAATGACAATCGCGTTCCACTTGCCTACAATAATCAGTAGACATGCTGTGTAGGTTTGTAGCCTATTAGGGGTGGGGAACCTGCTGCCTTCTGATTTCAAGATTGTTCTTTTTTAAGCACCAAAGGATGCAAGTAAAGCTTCATCTTTCTTGGCTGTACCCCTTTTAATAAAAGGATTTGTTCTGTAAAATTTGGATTCAGTCAAAAGGCTACACTTAAGGGCCTAGAAGTCCACATTTCATCTTAAGGCCACAGGTTCCCCGCCCCTTATACCATACAGCCTAGGTGTATGAGTGAGTGGACTCTAGGAAGAATCAAACGTGCATTAACAATGTCATACATTCACGCAAATCAGAATCAGGCTCTCCCACCTAGGCAAATCAGGGAAATCATGCTCTCCCACCTAGGTTCGTGCAAGTTACACTCTATGATGCTTACACACCGCCAGATTCGCCTAGGAATGCATTTCTCAGAATGTACCCCCATCATTGACACATGACTGTATGCAAATATATGCATACATATACGCAAATATTCCAAATCCAAAAATATCTGAAATTCTAAGTGCTTCTGGTCCCAAGCAGTTTGGATAAGGGATACTCAACCTGCATTGTGTATTTCCAAAATTAGTCTTAGATAAGTGTTATATATGATATAGAACACATTAAGTGCTGAAGGAAAAAAAAATGTCAGAGCAGGAGAGAGAGAGATGCAGTTTGGCAGCAGGCCAGGTTCCCATTTGTAGCTTATTTCTGTAACATTTCCATAAACTTCCCTTGAGTACAATGAAAAACTGTGTAAAGTGATACTGCTGGCTTTGAATGAACCCACAGCACAAGGGAATTCTCACAGTAAAATTGAAGAGGCTGGCTAAGAATGTTCAGCTACTTTTCCCTCCCAAGAATGAATACAGGCAAATGTGGGCATATCATTTTTAGCATATTTTGAAATTGCTCTCAGACATTAGGCAATTTTGCTAAGCATTTGCCAGGGGAATGGCAAGCTTGGCTGTGCTTTACATTTTATTAAGCTCATGAAAGCCTGGTATTTGAGGAGGCACGGCCTTTATTCTATTGCTTTGGAGACAGAGATAGAGCTGACTAAAAGTGCTCCTTGATAAATAAGAAAATCTTTGCACAGTGTGTGCTTTAAAGGTGTAACCAGGTGTCCGACAGAAGGATTTAAGGAACAGAGAAAGCATGCTTTTTGATTTAGTAGTCGTCTATTAGTAGTCATCTATAGGCTTAATAATTAAAAATACAATTCCAAATTGGGGGCTGCTCTTAAATTTTAGATAGCATTTGAAGCAAGGGTATAGAAAATAAACTTAAAAAGTGAGTGTAGAGAATCATGTGGAAACATACTGAATAAATTTGTATTGTGTATACTTAAATGTTTAATATTGTATACATTTACAGAAAATCTAAACTTAGAAGTATCATTCCATTTTTAATATAAGGGAAAGATTAGGGGGACAATTGTCCTCTTGAGTTTTTTACATTCCCACATAAGAGTTGTGAAAACATGGATTTTAGGGAGGTAGAACATAGAGTGTTTGTTGGGAGGGAAAAGTGTCACTCATTAAACTGAAATGCAATTGGTGATTGTGACATGGGACTCCATTTTGATAAACTAGGGTTTCCTGATTTAACAGAGACACAAAAAACCTGGACACTCCTTTGCCTCACTCAGCATTCATTTTAGGGTTATAAAATTTCCAGCAGAATTGTCTCCAAGCATAGACATTTCAGTAATGAATCAGGAACCTCTGGGATCATTGCATGCTATCTTGTCTGGAATTTTCCTTGCCATGCTTCAGTTTTGAGATGGAAAACCCTACTTGTGAAACTTCTGATAAGTGGATTTGTGCTTTCAAAGAGAAGTTCAAAGAAAAGGAAAAAAACTTCTTCCAAATATGCCAATAGAAAAAAAAAAAAAAACTTTTAACAACAGTATGCAGTTTTTAGGAAGAAAACACTATTTCATTTTGTAAAGCACGATTCAAACTTTTTAGTCAGTTTGCAATTAAAGTTGAACTACATGCAATTGAATCTAAGGAGATAATTAAAATAAATCTTATCTCTTTATGTAGTCAAATATAAGTAGACTGTTACCGGGTATTACTTTGTTAGTCACTAGATAATGAGTCTATACAGCCTAAAACATAAAACTCCTTTCAGACTTTTTTGCTAATTTAATCCAGTTCTTCTTTCAATAATTATGTCTAATTAGTTAAATATGCATAGGAGATCCAAACTTTAGTTGACAAAACTGACCCTCTTTAGAGTAAGTTCTGTTCTCTTATGAATACTGAATTTAAACTGGGCATCTAGAGCCATCTTTTTAAAAATTCATACAGTGGTTTAGGTGGCCCTTGGCCCAGCAGAAGAGCTTGTTGGACATGCAGGATCTTGGGCCCGTCCCCTGATTTTCTGAATAAGAAACTGTGTTTAGCAACTTCTCTACTGAAGTTCTGCATTGGTGAGAAAAGAATAAGCTACTTGGTAAACATTTTTCTAGGTCTGAAGCCAATTACATTAATTTTAGAAGAGAATAATTAATATCAGCTGTCCACATAGCACTTGTTGGCAGCCTGCTTTACTCTAGGCCTGTGTTAGGTACATAAAAATCTGTAAGAAAGAATCAGACAGCCCTTGACCTTTTGTCTAGTCAGGGAAATACATATATTAACCAACAAGGCAGTAAATATTATGATTTTAAAATGCAAAACAAAGGCCTATGGAAACACAGTAGAAGAGGTGGCTAATTTGCTTGGGGCATCCTGAATACTTTAGAGGGAAGATTAAACTTGAACTGTGTCTTTAAGGATAAAGATGAATTTTCAGGACAGGTAAATAAAGGGGCCATAGGTTGAGAGATTGACATGCACAAGATCTGAAAGTCTAGACAGATGGCAAATTGAGAGAACTGTTAAGTATCTCAATCCCAGAAGGATAAAGCCTTATCCCAACTTTACAGATAATTCACAGAAAGTTTATCTGAACAGTCTAGGCATGCTTCATTCAGAAAAAAAAGGGTGCATTTTGATTTTGATTTGGGAGTAAACTCTCTTGGGAAAGAAGGATCAATACTTGGATAAGGAATACGACAGGTTGGGGTTCCTGAAAGGAGATGGGTTTATTGTGCAGAAACTCTTGACGTGTTGTGTTTTGCAAATTACCCAGGGAGATGGCAGGAACTGGTGCCAATTCCCGAGATGCAAGAATAGGATTAATTTGATCCTTGTAGATTTTCTCTCTTTCTTTTATTTATGTCCTGAAGAGTTCCCCTGTTTGCATAAACTTCAAATTTCAGCCTCACACCTGTCCCCATAAAAGCTCTCTAAGGAAGGGAGGTGGTGTCTTTGTTCATTTTGTGCTGCTATAGCAAAATACCAGAGACTGCATAATTCATAAAGAAGAGGAATTTATTCTCTCATGGTTCTGGAGGCTGGGAAGTCCAAAATCAAGGCACCAGCAGGTTAGGGTGCTTCGCGCCGGGTCTGTCTGCTTCTAAGATAGAGCCTTGGAGGGGCTCTATCTGGAGGGGAGGAATGTTCTGTCCTCACTGGGCAGGAGAGCAGGAGGAGAGAGAGAACCCACTCTTGCAAGCTCTTTCTATAGCAGCATTATCCATTCATGGGGGAGGAGCCCTCATGATCTAAACGTCTTCCACTGGCCTCAGATCCCAAAGCTGTTGCATTGGGGATTATGTTTGGGGATTAGCATGAGTCTTAGAGGGGATAAAGCATCCAAACCAGAGAACAGAGGAAGAATTTAGGGGAACTGAGAAAGGTGCATTCTTGCTCAATTCCTTTCCCCCATATGATTTCATAAATACTCAGTTTTGTTTTTATGTAAAAGTGATATTAATCATAGTCTTAATAATAATAACACTAACATCTGTAGGATGCTGGTGGCAACATTTGGGCTCAGCCCTCTACTGCATCGTTTCATTTGGTTCACTTACCAACCCCGTAATGTGGTGCCAGATTCACCTCCCATTTTCTACAAAGCTGAGTTATAGGAAGATAAGCAACATGCGCAGATCGTGCAGTTTGTCAGGAGCAGGGCTGAGCTTCCATCTCAAGCCTGGCAGAGCATCCTTGATGTGGTTGGCCTCTCCCATTTATCTCCAATTATCCTGCAGCACAGCAACAATTATTCAATATCATTAAATAAAACATTAAAGTGTGCTATTACTTTTATGACGATACTGAAGTTGTTTCACACAGTCATCATTTTCACAGGTTTCTGCTCACTTAGGAAATAGAATTTAAATCGTGGGTGAGGAAATTTAGAATTTCAATCGTGGTTGAGCAAACAGGGTTTTAATCGATTGGTACAAACCTTAGCTACAAGTGGGCAATTTATGACTTTGTACGTTTCTGTAGTTTACAAACTGGAAGCAGCCCTGTTCTCACCCAGAAACCCTTTCGACGTGAAAAGAGGTGTATATAAAATGCCAGGACTTTTATCCCTTTAGAATTGTCTGATCATGAGCGAAAATAGCTAGGGTGGACCTTCATAAAACAGTAAGTTTCAGAGTCAGAATAGGATTGCTTGGAGGACACAGTTAACCCTGTGGACTTTTAGCTCTCGTATAGAATCTTCTGTATTTGCTGACTTGGATATAGAATAATAGTACAAGGTTCTTAAACTAATTTAGATAAGATAAGAACATTTTTGTGGGTTGCATGCATTTCCCAGAAGGTAAAATTGCAATATGGACTATTTTACTGACTTTCATCTTTATATTGTTTAAAAGTCATTTTGCCATTTAAAATTTTTCCTATGTATCCCTGATATTTTCCCACAGTAATTTGATTAAAATTTAGTAAAATGTAGGCTGGGCGTGGTGGCTCACACCTGTAATCCTAGCACTCTGGGAGGCCGAGGCGGGTGGTTCGTTTGAGCTCAGGAGCTCAAGACCAGCCTGAGCAAGAGTGAGACCCCGTTTCTACTAAAAATAGAAAGAAATTATTTGGACAGCAAAAAATACATATACAAAAAATTAGCTGGGCATGGTGGCACATACCTGTAGTCCCAGCTACTTGGGAGGCTGAGGCAGAAGGATTGCTGGAGCCCAGGAGTTTGAGGTTGCTGTGAACAAGGTTGATGCCACAGCACTCTAGCCTGGGTAACAGAGTGAGACTCTGTCAAAAAAAAAATTTAGTAAAATATATCATGAACAATATTTTCGGGCAGACGGTACAAACACTGCATCAGAGTTTTCAGATTTTTGTTTATGTTTACTTGCATATGTTGATTTAAAAAACTTAATAACAATAGCAAAACCAAAAATGTCATGTAAGTCTAAACTTTATGAATGCACAAGGACAATTTTCCAGAAAAGGTTGTCTTCTCCTTTAACTGCAAGAGCATAGCTCCCAGATTATGAGGACCTTAAAGATCAGTTTGTCCAATCGCCTCAAAGAAAAATTTCCATTCTCTTAACTTTGCAAGGCCACTTGAATTGTAAGAATTAGGGGAATATTTATTTGGAAAATGGCCTCATAAAATTCTGAACTGATGGGATCCAAGTTTAAATATCACTCCAGGGCAGACTCTATGACAATATATTTCAATATTAAAACCGGACTTGAGGGGTCTGTTTATATGAATGAAAAAATCATATCCCAGTTTTTAAAAAAATGAACTTTAGGTTATATCTTGCCACATGCCCTGATACAGAGATCTTGGAGAGCAACTCAAATTTCTCCATTTACTGTGGTTTGTAGATAATTTTAAGGTATCTGAGCTGCTGGTTGTATAGTCCTGAGTTGAATGCCCAGCGATTATAGAAACGTATCTTGGAAGTTTATTTATCTCTGAATCTGTTTTAGCCTATACTTTAATTGGATTATTTTTTTGGAAACCTGCTATAAATATTACCAACATCAAAATATCTTGTCTTCAGGTAAACACTGCTTTTGTAACAAGAGGATCATGGATTTGATTCCTAATTGTGTTTCCTTACTGAAAGATGTGGGCAAGCTTAAAGGCAAAGAATGTACCTAATATCTATTTTGATGGGTCGAATAGAATCCTTTATATTCTAACAAAAAGACATTCAACAGCTCAGTTAATCTAGGGTTTGTGCTATAGTCCTAAATGGACAAACTCTGCCAATTCTGAACATCATAAGTAAATAAAAGACTAAAGACATTTTAACTCTTCAACAGTCTTAAGCCAAGAAAAATAATGCAAGCAGAAAAGTGCCAAATGCAAACATAATTATATATCCAGTATTCTCTGTGTTTTGGGTTTGGACTAAAACTGCTATGATCCACTGGAGCAATCTTATAGTTCTAAGTCCATCTGCACCACCATTTACTGCTTCTATTTTGTGACAGCCTACCATTTTCCACTCAACTGGTAGAGAGAAGTGAGTTTCCTAACAACTTAATTTTTAGGCTATATTTATTATCTACCAATCAGAAACTGACAGCACTGCCAAGAATTTCTTCATTTCTTCACCTACCTGCAATTCTATTCATGTTCTTTACGAATAGCACTGCTGCATTTTTAAAATCTCAGCAGCAGAGGATATACACACCTATCTGTCACCTATCTATTTACCTATCATCTGTCCATCTAACATCTAGATAGCTGAGATAATAACATTTTAAATAAAAATGGATGAAAAGAGGGAACATATTCTTGTACTTTGAATTTACATATAGAAAATATGTTATGCTTAAGGTTCATGTTGTACATAGATAGTCAATTTATACATTTTTCTTACTTACAGTTCATCTTCATTAGATGCGAGGCCAATATACCCGGACTAAGTATTCTATTGCGTTCTCTTGAGGAGTAACTAAATTAGCATTGTAATATTGCTAGATCCTAAATCAGTTCAAATCCAGACAAAGAATCCTGGAGTATTTAGCGTGTGTTCATCTCTTCTTCCTACTAAAATCCAAATAAAAATGACAGCAAAGGAAGTTTTTTTCAAGAAGTTTATTTCCCCATAAAGGCAAGGAGAAGACTTTAGCGGGCAAAGCATTCACGCTCATTTTAGAGAAACAGAATTTGGGGAGTGATGCGTGACTTAGCAAAGCCACAGGCCCCCACAGGAGGCGGCTGTAAGCAAGGCAGGGACTGAAATCTGCCTTCAGGGGGGTCCTTTCTCACACCCTGCCTGGGCAGGGACTGGCCCTGGCCGTGACTCTGGTCGGAGCCCATGGCCTTGTTTTTTGCAGAAACCAAGCTCAAGAGGCTCCAGACTTGGTAACTCCAGAGAGCAGGGAAGGCAGAGATGCCATGTGGGGCTAAAAATAGGGACAGTAAGTGAGAGGAACCTTCTTTCCTCAAAACCCTTTTTGCCTCCCCTAAGGGTTTCCTTAAAACCCTCTTTGCCTCCCCACAAAACAAACCTGAAAAAGTCTTACTCCAGAAAACCTGAATGGTTAAACCAAAAAAATCAACAAATAAAATCTCAGCACAGATATTTGCCCACCCCCTTCCCAGGAAAAGAAAAGGCCAGAGAGCTGCTTCATTGCCCTAGAGGAAACCCCATCCAACAACTCCTTCTCCCGCACACTGGACTTCTAACCAGCCCTAGTGTCTAATTCTTAAATATGATCCCACAGCCCAAGTCACCAGACATGTAAGACAAGCCTCGGACTGAAAGGAGTAAAACCCAAGCAAACTGAGACAAACACGGGTGGAAGGAAGGAAGGAAGGAAGGGAGAGAAGGAGGAAGGAAGGGAGGGAGGAAGGAAGGAGAGAGGGAAGGAAAGAAAGAAGGAAGAAAGCAAAAAAGGAAGGTGGTTATAGAGGGAGCAGAAAAACAAACTTAAAAAATAAAATACTGCTAGATCACATGGTGATTCTATTTTAAATTTTTTGAGGAACTGCCATACTGTTTTCCATAGTGGCTGCTCCATTTTACATTCCTACCAGCCAGGTACAAGGGTTCTAGTTTCTCTACATCCTCAACAACATTTACCTTTTTTTTTTTGTTTGATAGTAGCCCATCTAACATGTGTAAGGTGATGTCCCATTGTCATTTTGATTTGCATTTCCCTGATGATTGGTGATATGCATCTTTTCATATACTTGTTGGCCCTTTGTATGTCTTTGAACGCAACAATAAAAAAGCAAAAAAATTGAAAATATTCTACCCTTGATGTAAGTCAAAAGGCTGAGAAGCAATAAAAAAGTGAAAATATTCTAAAACAGATGTCCTTGCAACAAGTGAAAGAAAACTATAAATAAGTAACTTTTCAAACGCAAGAATTTTAAAGATTAAGATTGAAAGATAAAGGTAAAGTTGAAGGTATCTTCCAGAAAGTTAAAGGTGTCTTCCAGAAAATAAGAAAAAAAGTGCCAAAATATGATAGTATAGAATAGTTAACAAAAATCAGAAATTGAACTAAGAAGGTACATAATTAATTAATAGTTAACGGACATTTCATAATTAATCGATATTTCAGAAAGAAAAAACAAAAAAATTCAGGAAAAATTAATCAGAGGTAAGGATAGATTAAAGACTTATTTTCAACATGCAAAAACTTAAATGACAACAACAAAAAACCAAGAACATATCTTTCCTGTCCTTTCTTACGAAGCTACTGGGGACATGTTTAAGGAAAGTGGAGGGTCCAAAACGTAGGGGCTTGGACGCAGGAGAAAAGCAAACAGTAAGCTCAGGCTATGCTGCGCATCAGCTGAGGCAGACCAAGGACTCCAGGAAAAATACAATGAATTATTTGCTGTGCTCAGACATTTGATAGATGTGTTGAATTGTTTGGGAAGAGAAAAAAAACAATCTTGTGCAATTAAGGGTAAGAAAATAAAAATAAAAAAATACAATAAGGGACCAATTACTAAATATGGCAGAGGAAGTGCTGGAATGGAAGTAATGAGAAATATGAACAGAAATACTGGGAGAAATTAACTCAAAGAGTTGAAAGCTTCAGGCTCTGGAGGGAAGGACAAGAAAGGAGGGTGGATCAGACAGGACCCATCTTTCTATTGTGATGTAAGCTCTTAAAATCTATTTGGCTTTATTTTTCTATGTATGCAAATTTATATCACTAATACAAATAAAAATTAACTTAAAATAGAAAGTAGCATGTGTCTTAGAGAAAATTACCTGATATAGTAAAAAAGTAAATTTTTCTGACTTATCGATTCCTTCTAAATCTGTACTTCTCTGGGGTTTTGGTAAGAGACACAATTATTTATGCAAAAAATATTTCTTAATGAATTCTATAATGTTAACCACAAAAGGTACTTTTTGAAATGATTTTGAAATACTTGAAACAACACAACCTCAGACATTAAAGATCAGAAATAGGCCGTACATTCTACATCTTGTCTGAATTCCTCAAAGTCAGAATCTGTGAAATGATTATTTGTGCCATTGAGTTTTGGGATAATTCTTTATGTGGTCATAGTAACTTTAATAGTGATACACTATACACCATAATAAATTATGTCTATTTCCTTCTGCATTTGCAAATTTCTCTCTTGACTATGCCAAGTTATATATTTGACTTATGCATATTTTGGCATATTTTTGCATTCTTAATCTAAAATAATCTTTGTGCAAATTAAATGTTTTTATATTGGTTTATTCTGTTCCATGCAAAATCATAAGAATAAAACCATTTAGTTTAAGAATAAAACCAAAATAGTTTGTCCTTTTTTTGACATCTTAGCTACGGTGATAGATAGTTATGGATTTATTCTTTATTAATTTGGATCACACTACAAGCATGCCTTTTAGCTACAGTATTACAAGGTAACCTGGGCTTACTGATATTAAATATAGCAAAGGGTAATATGAAATGACTTATGAACTTAATGTGGTTCAGAAAAAAAATGGGACCATGGCCATTGATAATGTAGACATTAACTGTAATAGTACATTACATCAAACAAGTGGAATGTCTGCTAATGAACTCACCATGGAGGAGTAGCACTTTGTAAAGTCCAAAGGCTGTTCAAATTCACAGTGTAGTGTAGTAGAGCAACAACAGACTCCATTTAGAGATTTGTGTATCTGGTTTTCCATAGAAGAAGCAATGAACAGGTATTTTCTAAACTCAAGCTTCCAAATAAAATCATATGGGTGCTTTGCCTTCAAAATGTTTTTATTCTAAAATGTTCCTATACAAAGTATGAAAAATAGAGTAGGAAAGTTTACTATTCCACAAAGTTTCTTCTAAAGTGATTTAAACACCTGTAAAGAAAACAGTAGCTTTTGAAACTTTAACAAGAGAACAAAACCTTGAGGTTTTCCCATAGTTAATACTGAATCATGAAATGTGAAGTAGAATTTCTACTAAATTTATATATTCTCCAGATAATCTTGGCAGCAATCAGACTACCTATAGGCTTGCATATGATTTAAAAAATTTTAATTGTAGGTTGGAAAAATGGAGTAAAAGTGTGCTGCACTCCACATCTGATAGATGGGTTTGATTCTGGAGGCATTGGATCAAATGAAGCTTGACTTTGGACGCAAATATGGTCCGCCAACCCTGCTGACACAGCAAAACAGAAAGAACACAGAGAAATTCAGGGTTCCCTTAGGCCACAAAAAATGTTCCAGCAGAAATCAGAAATGCAGTCTGACACTAGAGACTTGGAGAATACAGACCACTCTCAGGTTACGGGAAGGAAATTCTATGTTACCAGGAATCCAAGATTGTTAAAATAAACAACCTTCTCTCTTTATAAAATTACAATGACAGCAATGAAGACAACAACAATTAACAATTTGCAACCAGGGAGCTGATATTTGTTGTATTGACTTTTTCCAGTTTGTCACTCCCTAGTTTTTTGTTTTGTTTGCTTTGTTTTGTTTTTGTTTTTGATTTTGTTTCCTCTCATGGCTACTTTTACAAAGGCACATACGCTGCAGCATGTAGCACAATCCAGAATGCCCACCAGAGTAAACAGTAGTTTATTAATACTTTGAGTACAACATCCCTAGGGGTTCCTTCTTCTAACAAGTGATTTGTTGGTGAAGATAAAAGAAAAAAACATTGACATTGACTTAACATCCATGGTGACCCTGCCAGGCGATTCTCTAACATTTTCATATTTGTATGTATAATCCAACATACATAAAAATGTGCAGAATCCACGTCAGAGAAACTGAGGCAACACAGCAAGTGGCAAAGCAAGACTCACACCCTGGTTACCTCTCTTACCCCCCTGCACTTGGACCTCGGGTAGACACTCAGCCATAAGCACGCTGTGAGAGTGAGGGAATAAATAAATGGATGAATTAAAAAATGAATTATCGTATGGGCACAATGTGAAATGCAAAGTATTAAAAACTAAGGAGTAATTCCCAACCTTAAGGAGTTTATGATGGATTAGGGCATGTGAAAAATGGGCACACAGAACTATTCAGTGAAACAAGGTATGACAAAGTGTCTTAAGACCGAAGATCTGGGAATACTCCACAAAGTGAGAAATCACGTCTAGCAAAGGCTCTGTCTGTAAGATGTGTGAATCTGAGCTAGCGATTGATACATGGGAAGGTTTAGGAGGCAGCACAAAGTGGGTGTTTCTGGAAACCTAACCACGCAGGTTCCTAATAAGTCATACATCAGATTTCTGTCAAGATAAAATCCAAAATACTAATTTTTGAAAAAAAAGCATTAAAATATTTAATATATATTTACAGATCATATTGTATAATATGCAAGACACATTTAGGGAAAGTGATAAGGTAGAAAAAATGACAACAGCAGAAATAATACTAATAAAAGACATTAGAAATGAACAAATAGTTGGTAGTTTTCTATGGAGGAAGTGGTCATTCCATTTTTGGTGCTATGGGCAAAATGGTATCATGTGGGCTAATATCTTAAGGTCTTTACTATGTCCCACATTTTGCTAAGCAATTTACTTGAATAGTATTATCTCAGTTAACCTCTAAAATAACCTTCTGAGGTAAGTGCTATCTCCATTTTACAGATGAGAAAACAGAGGCTGTGGAGTTGCCTAAAGTTGTCTAAAGTCACACAGGCCAGCAGTGACAGAGCCACAATTTGATGCCATCGGTCAAATGTCAAGGTCCAAGTTAGGGAAGGATTTCAGCTGGATTCTAAAAGAAGGGTAGAGCTTCATTCAGCATGTGGACTTGGTCTAGGGAGATCTGTCTGCATAGGGGAGATGAAGTGAATGAAGTCCTAAAGTTGAGGGAAAGAGCTTAGTTTGTTGAAACACAAAAAAACACTTTCAGGAGTAGTGAGAGAACCTAAAAGGGTAGGTGGAGATAAAGAATACCAACAATAACGACACGAAGAAAGAAAAAGGAGGAGGGAAGAGAAAGAAAAGAAGGAAGGAAGGAAAGAAGGAAGAGGGAGAGAGAGAGAGAGAGAAAGAGAATGAACATGTGCAATCCTGTAGCTGGTTAAGGAATTTGAGCATGCAGGAAGTAAAAACAGATTGGATTAGGTCACAGGGGACAGTCTTCTTCACCTTTGTTTCCTTCTACTGTATCTAATTAAATGATTTGAAAATGTTTGAATAAACATAAGAATTAATAATCAGAACTGCATTTCAGGAAGATTAATTTAAAGAGCTGTATACACTGATCTAAAATGCCTTGGGCCTTCGGCTTAAATCTAGAAATGATTCTTGTGCCTAATTTCTGATCATTATGGCTTAAAGATACACACCGAAATGTTTTTGTAAAGATAACTTATGCTCTTCAGGAGATTTTTCTCCAAGTCCATGATACTTTGAATATTCAAATATTAACCAATATTCTATTTGAGTTTACTGGAAATTTTGACTAAATGATTTGTTTGACTAATGATATTATTGTTTATGATCATGGCCATTGTCTCCTTCTAAAAAATGTCTTTGAAATAATTGAAATTAAATATAAATAAAAAGTAGGAGAACTAAAAATGAAATAGATTGAGGTAGCTTGAAGGAAGCAGAGAAGAAAGACACTACTCTACACCCAAGATGGTAGGATCAATATAACTCATCACTGAATCTGGCTCTTTTTTCTGGATGCTAGGTGAAAGGAAAACTATGTCATATTGCATAGATTCTACTTCCTAACAGATAGATGCACATGCAACATTTTTCCTTAGTTTAAATGCAAACAGAAATTTCCTGTCTAGCCTTCCCAAGATCTTCGAGTAACATAGTAGTAGGTGATATTGTCTACAAACATTATAAAAATTTTTCAGATAACCCTCTTTATTGACAGTACAAATAGCTTGCACCACCTATTTGCACACTTTGATCTGGATAATAAAAGTAGTACCTCAGAAGAAACAATAGAAAGGAGTTCTTTATGCTGACCTACCTGTTTTGATCACCTGAACAAAGGGAATTGGAATCAAATGAGGCGTTGCAGTGGAGGATAGCTGCCAAAGGTTTGGATTTCCGATGTCCTCAGTGTGAGTTCAGTCTGAAAATCACAGAAGAGTAGGGAAGAGGGACTTAGGATAAAGAAAGTCAATCTTTTTATTCACCAGTGAAAAAAACGGAGGCCAGGGAAAATGTGGCCTCAGTTGTCCAGAGTGTTGGGTGTTTTGATCTAGAATATAGCCAACCTCACTCCTGTCTATCACAACAGAAGATCACGTGGGCTCTGTTTTATGAGACCCCCACTATACCACCAACTGAAGCACCCCATCCTTTCTTGTTCAACCACTGGGAAGAGATCAGGAGTAGAATTCGGGAATTTGTAGTGAAGCTTAATATAGTCTTTCATAACCTTCCCATATTAAACATTCATAATGAATGTTCAGGAACAGTTCCAATTGAATGTAATAACCATCTTTTTGATAAGGGTGGTTTATGCAGTATCCAACTAAAGGTTATTCACTTTTTCACAGGGTTACAATATACTTATTCCACAGGCAAGAAAAGAAAAATCGTCACACTATGTGCTTGATTCAAATTCAGATGCTACCAACATGACACATATTAGGTATCAGGGCTAGTGTTATTTTCTTCCAATTATTGAGAAGATATTTATACCTTTAGGTAGGGCTTCCTATGCATCCCTAGATTCAATTCGTCAAAAAAAAAAAAAGATCTAGAAATTTCAGAAGGAGGTTTAAATGATTTCCTATTTGCATTTTCCCAATTATCCTTCTCCTCACCTCTTCCTCCCACCGTACTCTAGTGCAAATTTCCTACAAAGCCTATTTTTTGTAAAAGGAGCCTGTAAAAACATCTCCTCCTTACCTCACTAACCTACTAAGCAACTGGAAATGAGCAAGTTCTGACATTAAGCTTCATTACCACCGTTTAGTGCATTCTGTCTGCTTGGAGTAGAGCAGTTCTGGTTCCCCACGAGAAAGCCTGTGAGGGCTACTTGTTTAGTTAAAAACTTGATACTGAGCAGCTGTTCCCAGAGAGCCCCCCCACACCCAAATAGAGAATGCTCTGTCAGTTGGCTGGTATTTCTTTCTTCCTCTCTGCCTTGCTCCCTGGCTTGCCGACGTGCAGATGCTGCTGTTGGTTATTCAAGCCACTATCCAGAGGGATTATTAAGATCCTCTTGAGCCAAATTTTCAGGAAACAAATGGGTTTTATAAATGTATATTAATCTGTTTAGCTTCAGATAATGAAAACATACTACTCTGGTATGAATCATATGTGGCATGCGGGGGCCCAAGCCCCTCCCCGAGGAATGTAACCAAAGGCGCTTGAGGTGTTGGAATGTGGCCTTGTAGTCAGGGTGCTTCCTGGGAGGTATTCAGAATGCAAGAGAACAGATCCAAATGGGGGCAGTTTGGTTTGGGAATGGTGAGCTAAGTTCTTGTCTCTGTGCATCCTGAAGGTCAGGAGAGGATACCTGGAATCAGGCCCCAGTGAGCAGACCCAGTCTCTCCAAGGACAGTATTTTAAGTAAATGCCTCAGCAGGTGGTTGGCTGAGTCACAGTGAGAAGATGGGTCATGTGTGACTTTGCCTTTGCTGAGGGGCTCACTGGGCCCCCTGGTGACCGCCATGCACATCGGGACTGGGTGGGCAGTTGGTTCACGGGTGGATACTCAGGGTCTGCTCCTGTGGGTTCCTTGTAGAATCAGCCAAGGATCTGACTCTGAGAGTCAAGTCCATCTTCAGACTACATCAGAGGTCCATTTACTGAACCTCTGTGATTTATCATCAAACATAGCGTAGTGTTCCTCTGTTTGAAGAAGAGAATCTTACATCATCCTTGGGGAGATGATGCCGGAAAGACTTTTCTTTTGGAATGCCACTGCATTGGAATGTAAAAGTCAAGGTTGTGGTAGGTGACTCCCTCATGCATTTCCAGCTCACTTTGCATAATGCGCAATCTCATGTTTAGACCCTGTCTCTGCCCCAGGCTAGCTTGAGCAACTGATTCACTTGACCTCTGAGAGCTTGTTTCTTCTTCTGTAAATAGAAAAATAACTACCTGTCCTACAGATTTCATAAGACAATCCCTTCAGAATAAATAGATGACGTGTGTAAATTACTTTGCAAATGTTAAATCTATAGGAATGTGAGGAACAAATTATAAGTTGTAATTTAAACACAATGAATAGTGCTGAATATCTGAAAAGTGTAAAAATAGAAATAGAGAGATTAAAATGACTTATAATGAAATGCATATACATGGAAACAAATTATATTAGGTCTATGATTTAGCCTCATAAGAATATTTAAAAATATGTATAGTCTTGCTGACTTGAAACATGAAATTATGTACTTTTCAGTAAAATACTATGTCATATGTATTTTCCACCATGTTACCACATATAATTACTCACAGATCTTTAAAAAAGTGGTTTGCACAGGAATTTCTGGTCTACTAACATGCTCCCTTTTCTCTTTGGTCTATGTATAACATCTGCATTCCATGAACCCTGGGGCGGCAGGATCACCCACTGATAAGACAGATAAATTTGAGGCAGGATATAAATTACACTGATCTTTCCCTAGGATAAGCTCTGACAAGAGAATCAACCTTTACCCTTTTGGACAATGACTAGATGCAGTTCACTCCATTTCCCTGTAAATTCGTCTGCACTAATCTAAATGCGTTCATTTCAGAGACTTTCCACCGAGGCCATTTCTCAGTTGCTTGCGCTGGAATTAAACCAAACCTCTTTACTTTGGGGAATGTTCAATTGGTGAGCTTCAGAGACGAGAGCTTCAGTCTGCAGACCTCACACCAAGTGATTACACAAGCAAGACACGTGCATCAATCCTTCCAACCGCAGTCATCCAAGTGGGCTGTTGGGCTTTGTCACTTTGCTGCGTGCTGACTCCAGATCCCATTTGTAAACCGAAAGGCACCAAGTGTGCTTTTGCGGATACACTTGGCGTTGCTTCTACGGGTTCAAACGTTTAGGGTCAAATGTATTTTTTGCAAGTGTGACCTATGTTATCAGTAACATTTTGTTTAGTTTTGTGAACAGTGGCAGTAGAAGTTACACTGGAGACCTGAAGGCACAATCTGCTTTCCTTCAGCACCTACCGGTGCCGGGCATTGTGTGAGGAGCTTCATATAAATTACTAATAATCTCACGGAGGTTTGGCCAGATTTATTTTATTACCCTCATCTTATCAATGAGAAAACTGTCAGCTCACTTGAGCCCACGTTACAAATGACTCCAAATCCCAGATTCTTTCTAACTCTTGAAACTGGCTGTAAAACTAGTGGCAACCTCATGAATACCAAATGATCATAGAAAATATACCCGACCTGCATGCATATAGGCGGATAATTCTAGAATTTTCCACAGAAGGTGCTGTTCTCACGGGCCTCTGCACCCTTCCTTGAACTTTGGTATGATCCAAGGCCCCTTTAGGTCATGTTTGTGTGCTGGTGTGCAATAATAAATTGTTTTGGAGGCTGAGGTATTTTGGGCGAGCCTGAATGTCAGACCCAAACTGATGTAATGTGACAAGGGAAGAGTTGTATGAGCCTCTTCTCTGGGTTATGTATAAAGCAGTGGTCTCCAACCTTTTTGGCACCAAGGACTGGTTTTATGGAAAACAATTTTTCCATGAACCGGGGGCTGGGGGATGGTTTTGGGATGATTCAAGCACATTACGTTTATCGTGCAGTCAGACCTCTCTGCTAATGGTAATCTGTATTTGCAGCCGCTCCCCAGCGCTGGCATCACCGCCTCAGCTCCGCCCCAGATCATCAGGCATTAGGCTCTCACCAGCAGCGCGATGGAAATATCCTCTTCAGTTTCTGGGAAGAGTTAGGGAAGAATTGGCATTCTTTAAATGTTTGATAGAAATTAGCAGTGAAGCCATTAGGTCCTGGGGGTTTCTTTTTTAGTAAGAAAGTTAAATTATTGGTTTAATCATTTTATTTATTATCTAAGTATGTTGGGTTGGGAAAAACCCAAATTTGTTTTCCAAGTACCATTAATCCTCAAATGTAAATGCCTTCAAGGGAAAGTAAAAACATATGATTGATATTTAATGAGGTTGTTCTTAAGTCATCAAAGCATTGCTTGCTAGAACTACTTGATGGCCAAAAAAATAAATAAATAAATAAAATTCATTCATCAATCTTTTCCTTATTAGATTTCCCCCCCAACACCCCGCCCTTTTTTAATGTATTTGCCAGGATGTTATTTATGCCTTTCTAGGTCTATGTAAAACTTTCCATGAGAAGGGGGATTCTTATATCTAATTTATCCTAGTGTGAGTTACACACACACAGCCCACAGACAATCCAGGGCCTTCTGTCTATACAAGTACAACCCAGTTTCCTCATTGCTCTTTCTGGCTGCATCCTCAATTGCCCATCTTTGGAGTTTTATGCCTTTATTCATCTACCAGGTTTTAAGCAGTAGAAAGATGAAAAGTCAAATCCGTTTCTTTTACTATTTTTTTTAATATTTTCTTTTTGAAAAATTGGTGAAAGATTTAAGTTATTAATTGGGGAGAGCACAGGACAATTATTATTAATTATGTTCAATCAGCACTTAATTATTTGTGTCAACACCTTGCCTTTGTGAATCTGTGACAGAAAGTAGAACAAGAGTCGTTCCAGTTTTGACATTACCCTGTGAGACAAGGTGTGGTTGTCAGTGAAGATGATAAATGAATTAAAGGAACACAAACTGGGGTGTAGAAAGGTATTTGTGGAGTGTTAGCATCCATACATGCTTCTTCTGGCAAAAGAAGCCAATAATTATTTGCTGCAGTAGAACCAATTTTCACTGAAAATAATTTTTACTTGGATTTTGCACATCTGTTAATCAGTAGCAGATTTGCAAAAGTGCTGGCTTAAGTCCAGTGTCAAAATTTGCTCAATATTTACTTGCTCTAAACTCAACACAAAATAAATTTTAAAATGCTCTGACAAATACAACATATACAATGTACATATGTAACATTTTCTCATTTTTGATTATAATATTTAAGTGGGTTGTCACACCAACCGTGATTAATCTTATTTTTGCATAGCCCACTTTCTTAGCCACATTTTTTTTTTCACTCTTTCTTTCCTTGTTGTCACAGGTATAACAACCTCCAAAAGATATTTCTGAAATGTGCCACCAAAGAAAGCTCTTTGGACAGATCTCTGTGCCTTACTCCCATCTCTGGACATGCTTATTTTCCATGGAGGGGAATAATATCAATATTTTGCTGCTGTTGTAATCGCTGCTGCTGCTTTTGCTGTAATTCTGATGTTTCTCTGTTCATTTATTGTTCATAGTTTTCACAAAAAACAAACTCAAAATAAACCCGAAGAACGCTTAGTAGAAGGTGTTAATGTAGACAGAGATAGACTCAACCATAATATGCAATGCATTTGGCATGTAAATCCTTATATCTGAGCTTAATAATAACTATATTTAAGGTGGTCATTTGTCTTCAGTTTAATCTTTTCAAATGGGAACTGTCTATATCGTATCTGTATTAAATGCACGAATTCTTAGCAGTCTAATATCTATCATCGAGTTTTGTCTAAATTAAACTATCCTTCCATAAATACATTAAACATCTAAAATATCGTAAAATAAATTTTAATCAGTCATCTGTGAGAGGGGATTCTGGACTAATTTTTCTACTTTTCAAACCATTATCAGTACTATGCTACTGCAAACAAAATAAATTTTCTATTAGTTTGATCCAATTCTATTTGATAAATTAAAGAACTAAAAACAATTCATTTGTTTACCAATCTGTTTCTTCTCAGTGGTTCTCAAGTCTTTGAGATTATGTTGGAGACATTCTGCCCACTATCCTAGGATTGGGTTGTGTGACCAGATAAACTTTATAATTGGCATAATGTTTAAACGTTTTTAATTGTTAGCATGATCAAAATACTGGACAAAATTTCATTGCTGAGGAATTCTGGGGATGCACAGAAATTTAATCTTAATATTAAAAACATTATTCTTTGTTTTGGGGGGATGCAAGCATATTTATAAGAATTCATTTCTACTTGATAATAAATACAATTCAATATTTCTGATGTTTCTATAAACACATAAATCTTTTAGAGAGACCATAAAAAGGAAAGCAAAAAATAACATGACTTACAAAGAAAAACATTTTAAATAATGATATAGAAAAGCTATTTAGATAGATAGCTATTTTAGATAGATATTTTTGGATTTTATTGAACTTATTTTAAATCAAGACCCAAAGATGAGGCCATCTCTCTGTAGAGATGCTATAATATAACCCACTTTATGGCTAATTTTACAGGAAGGGACATGTTTCATACAATGGTAAGCCCAATTATGAAACAAACGTCCCTGTAATGACCTTTATGTGAAAACCTGGAAATCATATAAGAGTAACTAACATCTGATGATTTCATAGTTCCTATATCTTAGGGACATCAAGAGACTATTATTTAAAAATCTCACAATCCAAATTGATAAAACAAAAGTTAAAATATGAAGCTCAGTATAAAAATTTGAGTTTCTCACTGTTAGCAATTAGTTCTTTAGACAACTTTTTATGCTTAGATTATGTGGACTCTAGAAGTTCTAGGAATTGCAAAAGGCAATTTCATGAGTAACTTTAAAAACCAGCACGGCATATCTGGGAATAAGAATATTGCATCCAAACCTTTGTAGTCTAAATGAAAAATAGCCAGATAGATATTTGTGGAGTCTTCCTTACTGCATTAGTCAGATTTCATAATCTAAAATTATTTTAGCCAAATGAAACTAAATCATACTGGTTTTTAAATATGTGGTTACTCTGATGAATTCTTTAAAAGGAAGTGTCCAAACAATGTATTTAATATCTTTTCTATTGCTTATGTCTACCTGAAGTAATCTCTTGCATTGACATGGGTTTCTTATTGACAGGTTATATTTGCATGACTTTGCCCCCTGCATAAATGTCACCACATTTCCTTTAAAGAGAAAAATTAATCAGTGAAAAGATTGCTTTCCTTTCTTGCTGAGCCTGGTTTAACGGGTAAAGTCATCACATAACTACTTTAATTATAAAAGTGCTCATAATCTGAGGCAAGGCAACAGCTAGGTTGGGTTAGAACCTACAAAATCCATGGACAATGTTCTGATTTTGTTTTGTGATAAATTAATAAAAATCCTCAAATAGTACATTACTTTATTCATAAAACACAAATCTATGATGAGGGAAAAAGTCAAACATCCCTACTGAATCCTAATTATGCCAATTAAATTAGCTGCTTCTCCTCAGTTCAAGTTTTTAACGACTAAAAATCCACCATTCATTTGCGTTTATTCACTGCCTACTGTGAGTCAGTTATGGCAGCCTCTGCATATCCCAAAATGAGTAAGACTGGGTCTTTGCTCTCAAGATGCTTTCGATCTTTGGGCATATGAGGATTCTATTTTCCAGAATATTTATATTTTGATAATGATAATAGAAGCGATTGCAGAAGCAGCAATACTTTCTTTTCCATTTCATACCTCTTTCCTATAATATAGATATTTTTGTAATGTGTGTGCATGTGTGTGTGCAACCCAAGGAGCTTGACCTCAATTTGAATTGTTAAGATCTGGCTTCTAATACTCACTTTAGAACAAAACATAGCAGATGCTGGGGAATCTTGAGCATGGTCCTTGAGCTCCACGTTTTCTGCTTTCTACTTGATGAGAATGTCTTTCATAATAATTCTCAAAGCGCTTCATCTTCTAGGTCTACTTGCCCACTATGATCTGTTGATGTCTTCAGATCAGTCTCTAACAGGTCTTTACTGCAAGCATTCGAAGAGAGAGAAGACCTTTATTGACCAAGTTGGAAAACTACTCTAGGAACAGCAGATGAGTTTCATCACTTTGCTTCAGTGTAAATTAAAACAGATTGTATTTTCTCCACACCCCAACACTGCAAACAGAAAATAAAATTATTCAGCAATTCAAGTCACGTCTTTCTTTCAAGATATTCCTTGAAAGTCCCAGAGTAATTGTAAATGAAATTCATAAAGAGGGAAAAACACAGTTATTAGGCGGGTGTACATCAGCATGTGGGCAGGATTTAGCTGAGCCCTTTTTCCTATTGAAGAAGTGATCAGACGACTTGACAGCTGGAGTTTACATGATTGTTGTACAATAAAACAGGACCACAGCTACCTTTTGCTGTGTTCCAAATGCCAAGTGCAATTTTGAATACTTCTTCTCCTTTATAAAAATTTGTTCTCTTTATGAAAAGAGAAGATAGATACACCTTAGAAGTGGCTATGTTCCTACAGAATCCAAGGTGCATAAAAAATTAAAGAGAAATTAAACCTGCACCGTGTAATTAACAAAGAATGGAAAAACCTATTGAAGTTTAATGGCTGGGTTGTAAGAGAAGCCACACACAACATAGTTGGCCCTCTGAGATCTGAGGTAAATGGATTACAGGATGTGGAGTTGGAGCTCAGCTGTGAACACTGTGATATTTTGAGAAAAAAGGATTGAATGCACATCGCTTTGTTGAAACTCTCTCAAAAATCCTAACAAATCTGACCATTTCAGATGCCAAAGACAGCAACAGAAAGTGCAGAAAACAAAAGAGGTGCAATATCCAAATAGTTTAATTAAATCATAGCCCTTGGTTATATCTTATTTTACTATTTTTTGTTAAGTTATTCTTTTGTGGATGAATGAAAAGAGAAATCCAATAAGTTTCCCCCATTTTATAGGGCTGTGATGACATGATTTGGAACTTTTGTGAAATTGTGAGTAGGATACATAGATACTTTTACTTCAAAACTAATTAACACTTAAAATTGAATTTGTGTTTTTTCTAGAATCTTAAGTGCTCCCATAGATAGTGGAACCCATTTAGATACAAGGTATATTTAACTTAAGGATATATTAATAAATAACCTAATTTTTATCCTCTTTAATAACATGAATACTTTTCACTTTTATTCATTCATTATTTCAGTATTTTTGGTAGCATATACTATATATCAATGTTTTTAGTGTTAAGGGTACCACAGTAAAATACATGTAAATATCTTACTTAAAAGTCTAGAGTAGAAAATAGAAAGTTGTTTTTTTTAAAAAACAGGGTGGGAAAGATAATAAATTATGTTAAGGGTAAAAAATAAAGCAAGGAGGAGGACATGAAATACTGAGTGGGACTTGAAGTTTTAGATTTGGTAGCTATTCACTGCGAAGTTGACTTTTGAGTAAAGATCTGATGGCATTGGAGCTAGTTAGCCACATAAATATTTGTGGGAAGGACATTCCAGGCATTGGGATAGTATCTGCCAAGGGCCTGAGGTAGGAGTACATCTGGAGTGTTTGAGGAATAACAAGAATTCCTGTGTGATCGAGGGTGAACAGATTCAATGGAGGACAATAAAGAATATCATCAGAAATGTAAGATAAACTCGACTTTAGAGGACTTAATGGTGCATGGTAAAGACTATGGCTTTGACTTTGGATGAGATAAGAAGTCTACTTTATTTGTCAAGCATTGCAAACTTTTTCTGTGAAGAGCCAGATGTTTAGGATTTTCAAGACAGACAGTTTCTGTTACAACTACTCAACTCTGCAATTGCAGCACAAAAACAGCCACAGACAATATATAAATGAATGCATATGGCTCTATTCCAATGAAACTTGATTTACAAAAATTAGTGGAGTTGATGATGGCAGCAAAATGGTAGATTAGGAAGCTACAAGTCCTCCCTTCCCAACAAAAGCACTGAATTATAAATATGGACTAGATACCTCTGTGAGACTTCTAGAGAGGAATTCAGGGTGTTTGGCATACTTGTTTATACCTCTCCCTGTACACAACATAGTGCAGAATATCCTAGAGAAAAATCACCTCATCTTAGGGGAATGAAAAGAAAGTGTGGATCATGTATCCAACATTCTGGCTTGTCTGAGGGCAGCCTGAAGAACTTCCAGTCTTGCCTGACTTACAATGTTGACAGGACCAGCACTAGAGTTTGGAAGATGCCGAAAACGGAGGTCAGCAAACAGCATGTTAGGACTTGCAGTTCTGCAGGCAGACTCCAGGGTTTACAAGAGACCAGACAAGGTTTGAGAGATCTTAGAATCTTTAGTTGGGCTGTTTGGTAAAGGCCTTTCTCTGCATGAAGTAAATACACAGAGACTGGGAGAGGTTGTCTGTTTTTTCAAACACCTGAACCCAAGCACAAGATTACAAAGCATACAAAGAAACAGGGAAATGTGGCCCAATCAATGGACCAAAATAAAATTCCAGAAAATGACCCCATAGAAACATAGATCTATGATCTGCCTGACAAAGAATTTAAAACAGCTGTCATATGATATTCAATGGGTTTTTAAAAAGTGCACAAATAGACACTTAAATGAAGTCAGAAAAATGATGCATGAACAAAATGAAATTATCAACAAAGAAGATAGAAACTATAAAAAAGAGCCAAAGAAAAATTCTGGAGTTGAAAAATAATAACCGATCTGGAAAATTGCTTAGAGGGATTTTTTTTTTTTTTTCAACAGGAGACTTGACCAGGCAGAAGAATCAGCAAACTTGATGATAGGTCATGTGAAATTACTGAATTACAGAAGCAAAAAGAAAAAAAGAATAAAGAAAAACAAAGAGAGACAAAGGGACTTATGGGACAGTATATACCTTATGAGATTCTCAGAAAAAGAAAATAGAGTGAAAGAGACATAGAGCTTATTTGAGGAAATGATGACTCTAGAATTCCAAAATCTGAGGAAAGAAATGGACAGACAGATTTAAGAAGCTCTAAAAACCCCAACTTGGATAAAACCAAAGAGAATCATATCAAGAAATGTTATACTCAAACTGCCTAAGGGCAAAGATAAAGAGGCAATCTTGACAGCATCAAGAGAAAAGCAATTCATCATATACAAGGGAGCTTCCATAATATTACCAATGGGTTTCTCAGCAGAAACTCTGCAGGCCAGAGGGAACACATGATATATTCAAAATATGGAAAGGAAAAAAAATTCAAGAATACTGTATTTAGCAAAACTGTCCTTTAAAAACAAAGAAGAAAGAATTTCCCAGGTAATCAGAAGCTAAGAGAATTTAATACCACCAGATCTGCTCTACGATAAATGCTAGCAGGAATCCTTCAAGTTCAAATGAAAGAATGGTGGAGAGCAACACAGAGCCACACAGAAATGTAAGGTTATCCCATAAAGCACACCTCAGTGCAAACTAAGCACATTTCAACTGTTCAATAGGCACAAGTGACTGGTGGCTACTGTATTAGACCACACAACTCTTGAGGATAGAAAGTCTCATATTTTTCTCTCTATCTTTTAATTATCTAACATTGAAATATGCATTTATGTTTGCAAACTGCGTCACATTGAGAATTATGAGGACTCATAAATCCAGATCGATTCTGTGACTCTGAGCCTGAGAAAAAAGTGGCAGAGGGCCTTTGGCACATGCTAACCACTTCTGTCAGTTACATTTGTGATTCTGTTTGACAGATGAAAGAACTAAGTCCCAGGATATTTAAGAAAAATGCCGCAAATTAACTAACTGGTTAGAAATGAGCATTGGGATCCAAATTCAGGTCAATGTGATTCCAAATTCTTTCACTTAATATTATGTTGTCTTCATGAAGACCTTTTAGTTTTTTGTAGACCAGTGGTTTCTCCAAATGTGGTCTGTGGAACCCTTTTCAGTGGTTCCATCAGGTCAAAGTCGTCTTCATCATAATGTATACTCTTCCTTTGTCTTCTTCACTCTGTTGACATTTGGAAAGATGATGTGAAATCTATGTGAGGGAAGCAAGGGAAGTATAATAAACCTGCTGGCACCTAAGCATAAATCAGGGCAACAGGGCCAAATTGTGCCAAAACTCATTGCATTTTCACCATCACAAACTCACAGGGGCTAAAAACCAGTTTCATTTAAGAATGTCCTTGAAAAAGTAACAAAAATTGTAAGTTTTATTAAATGTCAACTGTTGGGTGCACACCTTTTTAATATTCTCTGTGATCAAATGAAAAGTATCATTATATTGTACACAGTAGAATGATAGTTTTCTCCAGGAAAAGCATTTGAGTGACCGAGTTGTTAGTGAACTAACCATTTTAATTTTAACGTGGAACACCATTTTACTTTAAAAAAATGACTGCTAGACAAATTGTGATGATTCCAATTTCAGTATTTGGTGGATACTTTTGGGGTCAAGAAGTGAGCTTGTTGCTTTAAGAAAAACAACTGACAGTATTTTTGGCCAATAACGAACTTAGAGCTTCCAAGTGAAAATTAGAATTTTGGGAAATTTGTATCTGCCTCCGTGAGCTTCACAGCTTTCTGATACTTAAAGACTATCCTGATGAGATCAGTGGCAGTATTAACAAGTGTAATTTTTTAATATTAAATAGTGAAATATGTCAACACTTGGAAGATCTGTATAACTTAGCAAACCAATATTTTCCAAATTACCAATGCATGATGTTACAAAATAATTTGTGAGTTAAAAGCTTTCTTCAAAGTGTAAGGCAGACCATTGGATTTTAATGTAAGAGAGGGAAGAAGCTAATTGAAAGGGTTTCAGTCCTGCTTTGCAATTAACATTTGAAAAACTACCATTTGTCAAGTTTTGGTGCAGTTTCAAAGAAGAATTTCCATAAAGATTTTTTAATAGGCCATTAAAATGTTCCTCCTTTTTTAAATCACATATATGTGTGAAGTTGGATTTTCTTCATATGTTTCAAACAAAAGAACATATGACAACAGATGGCATACAGATACAGATATGATAACCTGGGTATCTTCTATTAAGCAAAACATTAAGAGATTTGCAAAGACATAAAACAATGTCATATTTCTCACTATTTTTCCGTTTCCAAAAATAGAGTTATTTTAAACAAAATATGTTATTTTAACATGCAAAGAATTTATTATTCTTATTCTTAAATTCACTAATTAATACACATTTAAAAATTCTCAAGTTTAATTTCTAATATCGTAATTATTGCTTGATATAACCTGCATAAACTCGAGCTTGTTGTGGTCCTTAATAATTCTTAAGAGTGATAAGAGGACCTGAGACCAAAAAGGTTGAGAATTACTATTGTAGGTATAGTGTGCTGCTTGTGTATGAGGTGCACAATAAACTCTTAACTAACTAGAGGAAATAGTGAGGGTTTTCAGTTAACTGGCTTGTGATTTCTTTGATCAAATTTAGGAAGAAAATGGAAACAATGAAACAAAGAAGTTGATATCACATGTCTTCTCCATGTATAACCCATGTAAAACTGCTACTTGTATGACTATATGTGATCAACTCTGATACAAAATGGAATAGTAAAACTTGTCCTACTTACAAAAGTTGCTATAAGAATAAATAATGATACAGAAACAAGTAAGATAGTAGATCTAAAATCTTTTGTTATATATGAAAAATAAAGCAAATTTAAGTAGATCTTATGTACTATAAGACATTTCACTAATGCTTATTATCAGAAAAATTCACTTACTTAACTCTAACTTAACTCTTAACTCAACTCTCTTGCTTTATTTATAATCATAAAGTACCTATTATTTGTCAGTACTGTACTAAACTGCATGTATACAAAGATGATTAAGATAGTGCACCATATATTCATTAGGTTATGAGTGTTTATGAAAGATTTTTCAACTGTGGTTGAAACAAAAAAAATTACTTTTATGTTTAGCTCTAGGTTAATTCGTTCATTTTATTTTCTAAGTCTTTAGGTAAACATTGTTCTGTACCATAAATTGATGAGTCATCATTAGTTTATTTGAACTTTTAAAAATTTGAACTTTTTATATTTTATAATGGTTTTTATTTGAAAATATTCTTAAAATTTCAGACCATCTGCAATAGTACATTGAGTGTCATAAGTCAAATGATACACATTAGCCAGTTTGAAGTCCTGGATTCTTTTGACATTTCACTTTTGGAGAGAAATAAATAGCTTCTAAAAGGGGAACTAACAACTAAAATGGCCAGTAATAAAATGATCAATTCTAATAAAGCTATAAAATAGCTTTCTACCTAGTCAGTCTTTGGACTTAGACAGAAGGGGTGCTATTTCCTGTAGATTCACCCATGATGGCTCAAGCAATGCAAATTCATTGTCTTGCTATACTGCTATACTAGGGCCACCCTCATGCTGCCATTGTCATGCCCAGGAAGGAGCCTGCTTTCAATTACAGGGAGGAGAGGGTACCAAAGTGTCAGAATTAGCCCAAAGGAACAGATTTTCTTTTGCAGACTCTGGTTCTATATCTTCTCCCTTCCTCAGTCCCCAAACCCCATATGAACCTAAAAGTTAGGTTTTGGGTTATGCTTCATTCTGCTTTTAGAAGAACATAGGGTGGTGGTTTGTTTTTTTTTTTTTTTCATTTATCAGCATAAACAAAGCCCAGACTCTGGTAGAGGCAAATGCTATAAAGTGGAACCTCTGAGAGTGACATGAGAATTAAGAAAAACATAGCTCTAATTTTGGAAAGATGGTTTCAACATCTGCAATTTCAGGGGTTTTCAGAACATTCAAAGGCTTCTTTGATTATTTGAATTATCATCTGTTAGTTCAATCAATTGCCCCCAAAAGCAATGAGATGAGTCTGAAAATTACAACTTCAGTCCCTATAAGAAATCTGTCTGTCATAGGGTATTCGGAGTAGTATTCATGTAAGCTGTCTTTAATTTTATTAGCACCTTCCAAAGCACTGAAACAGGATCCACATTTATTTATTCATTTATTTTAATTATAGTGTTTGATTGCAAATGAGTACTTTGTAGATGGGAAAGAACTATTACTAAGGAATGGCACAGAATCAATAAATGCTTATTATAATTTAGAAAAGAAAAGCCGTAGAGTTGTGTGATGAGTGTTTTGGTCTTGACTACAGTTTCTTTTCTTTCTGTGCCTAGAGCTCATTAGGCAGATGAATTTTCCCCGTGATTACAGCACCCACAAAAGGGCCAAAGCAGAGAGAGAAATCCACCTTTGCTCAGTTTCAAATTAATCCGAAACCCTTCAGGCCTCAGTGGGTGCCCAAGGCACCTCCCGCACCCATGTTATTTTTAGTCGAACGCTATTCTTCTGTTACTGGCAGCAAGATTGAAAACTGTCATGACTCTGAGCAAACCTGGTTATTTCAGAATACAGCCTTTCACAGCATTTCCCTCTAATGGCCCAGATTAGAAAAGAAAGGTTGTTTATACGTTTAAAAGGCCAAGGTCTCCTGAACCATCAAAGCAGTGGCTTGTGGTTTTAGAGCAATACAACTTCCCGCTGTGTGTAACGGGTGAGCGCCTGTAGACGGCGCTTCAGCTGGGCTGCCACTGGGCACCGATGCTAATTGGCGTTCTGCGAGGGACACTCGAGCAGCCTATGAGCCTCAGCATTTCATTTCATTTGGAGTGAAATATACTCTAAGTCACAAAGGACACACACACACCTTCAATGCCTTCTTTCTGGGCATTTATCTTTTCAGAGGACGGGCTCAGATCAAATGCCATCTTGTCACCTCCCATCTCTATCCTGGCTACGCTTTAGAATGTTTAAGAAATAAAATAAAATAAAATAGTTCCTTGTAATTGGAATTTCACTCTTTGGAAGGATTTATGAGAGAGCAAATGCGTGGAGTGTTTTTTATCAGTAAATCTTTTGCTTGCAGAAACTGGCAAGAAGAGAACGCATATTGGCATGAACATCTCTGCAGACATTTCTGAAGGCAGCCAGGTACTCACTTAGGATAATCCAGCCCTGCCCACACACCCTCTGTTTGCTTCTTCTGTGCTTTGTGTACTAGTGGGTGAGGTTACTTACATGTGTGTTTGGTTATTTCAAATTCATATGCTCTGTTTATTTTCATGAAATAATCATCTGTCCATTACGATCTCATGTATGTTGGGTGCAATGAGTCCAATTCTCAATGTGTCAGATAGACACAGTGTCCCACAGCATCCAGGGGAGACTGGTGCCTGAAGAAAGGAGATAGTATCGCAGAACAAAATGGCAACATTATTAATGTGAATCTTAATCAACTCTTAAGCTCAAGAGACTCTTATGAAGGCAAATGTAGAACTGAAAAAGCTGCAACAGAAAACCACAGCTAGGCTATAAATACAGCCCACTCATGCGCTAACCAGTAATGAGACTATCATAATATGAAACTGTTATTTATTGTCATTTATTTCACATTTGGTAGTAATAATACATTTTTTTCCTAGGATGTATCACTTTGGGTAAGTCCTTTCTTCTTTCTGGACGTCCATAATCTTGTATGCAAGGGACTAAATGACTTCTAAAGTCCTTCCCCATTAAAATGATTGTGATGGTTCCATGACTTATGTCATGTGAAACATACTCTTGTTATGTTGGAGATTATTATTAAAGTCAAGACTTAATAATAATCTTTGGGATATTGCAGCAAAATATTTTAAGAGTCAGTTTCTGTTCATAACAGTTAAGATAAACCCAGGTAGCTCCTTCCCTAGTATCATACACATTTGACAAATTTATAAAGCTATTACTCTCTTCATCTTTGATTTGATGTATTCCAAGAATTGAGATGTTCACTTCAAATCAAAATTATTTTACACTCGTATATGTTTAAAATTAGTCATACAGTAATTTTTAGGAAAAGGAAGAACATCATAAAATTTAGGCATTGTTACTGGGGGATTAAACTTATAATAATTATGATAATGTTAGCATAATTACTATAAAAGGAACAATTTTCCACCTTATTTTATCTAGGCTTTCAATTAAGGAACCAAAAAAAAAAATACTGACCGATGTAATCCCTTCCACGTTCTTTGGACATTTGAAGTGATTTTTAGGATTAGGAGGCTTCAGCACTGATTGCTGTGTTTGTCCAATAAAATTTGCATTTTCAGCAAGTTTCTTTTCTTATTTGTTTTCTACCTTCTAGAAAAAATGAACAAATGATTTTAAAGAAATGTAGATTTCCTTATGGAAAATTTTGGATATATGTTAATATGCTTTAAATAAAAATTAGGTTATATAAATATAATGTTTATGTATATTTGTGTGTGTGTGGGTGTGGGTGTGCATGTTGGTTGAGGCTAGATAATAAATAGAAGTTCAAAGGGGTTAAGTAACTTCACCATTGGCACAAGATACTAAGTGTTGGAATATGGATTCAAACTTTAGGCTAGGTACTGGCCTATAGCTAATTTAAGATCCTTTTAGACACAATTGTGATTCGGGTATGAAAGAAAAGGAAATATTTAGATATCATAACATATTGATTACCTCGATAGCTTCATGTATCTGTACACACATGTGTCTATGTGTAACCCAGGTCTAGGGGAGCACTCATGAATAGGACATAACTCTCTGGAAGTGTGTGCTTAGAAAAAAATGATTGTGTACTGATGTGGACACAAGTAACACCATCGTTTTTCATGCTTGCATGTCATACTCTAGATTGTCCCAGGTCCTTAGAGTGCTTAAATATGGGATGCTCTGCCATTTCTCAGGTGCAATTCACTGTTGCTCAACTCTCCTTCTTTCTCTTCCTACCACTGTTATTTCTTCAATTTCTTTAATTGAAAAAAAACCAAAAAACTAGTTGTCTGCATTGCTATTTTCCTTTCCTTGCATTTGCACTGACACCAGCCACTGCAGTCTGGCTGTAGTCCGTACTCTTCCACTGCAAGTGCTTTCAGTAAGATGAAAAGGACTGCCCCATTGTCCTCTAACTCTCCCTCTTTCACTATTTGATGCTCTTGACTTTTCTCCCCATGCTCCGATTTAGGTTTGGTGGCACAGCTCTCCACTTGCTCAGCATTTACTTTTCTGAGCCCTCCTTCTTATTCTCCTTACTGTATGAAGATCTCAGCGGGTTAAGAGAAGATAGATTTGTTTCTGTTATGCTATATATTTACATTTGTCATATTGTCTCATTGCTGTCTGGTAGCCCCTGCAACCAGGGCAGCTTCTCTGAAGCGTGCTGGTCACAGTAGCAGCGAAAAAGTCAGTCCAGCAAAGAACAAACTGGCTCCTAAAGCTTCTGCCACCCCATTTCATTGGCCATAACGAGTCACATAACCATGCCAGACTCCTGCAGGACAGGGACATACAGCGCGCTCTTCCTGGAAGTGGAGGGAAAGCATATGTTAGTGATGAATACGACCCCTCCCCACTCTCCTTTTGTCCACTGGGTAATTGCTGGTGTTTCCAGCCTTGACTTTGCTCTTTTCTTACGTGTGTGTGATCATGTTGGTATCACATGTGTGGTAGAGTTGATGTACAGCCAGGATCTGAAATCCTCCTAGATTTACCAACAACCTTCATTTCTCTTCTGAATTTCCATCACTTTGTCCAAGTGCAATGCCACCTGAGTTTTAGCTATCCAAAGAATTATTCTGTCTGTTAAGAGCTGTGAGGAAGAGTGAGGTAGGAGGGGACTAGGGGGTCCAAAGGTAATACAAATAAAGCACTCATTTATTTGTCAGGTTTACTCTTTAACTGGAAATTCTATTATGCTATTTCTGTTTATCTGTAAAATCATCGTAATAATAATCCCACTTCACAAGGTGGTTCTGAGGATTGAATGAGTTTGTACACATCACGTGCTGGAATGATGCCTGGCTCGCCCTGGTTTTTATTGCCATTACATAGGCAATCCCAGCTCCAACCCCTAACAATCATACTTCCGCCAATTCTCAACCATGCATTTTAAGAGAAATACATAATCAATTATTTTTATTCTAGGAGTGAATTTATGATTCTAAGGAAAAGACAGGAATTGACTAAATGAAATCATTCATCATTTTGTCCCTTAGAGTTTTAGCACTGAAAAGGAGTTTAGGAATTATCTCGGCTCACCCTCTACTTCTGCAGATGAGAAAGGGGAGGTCAGGGAAAGTGCAGAGATGTGCAAAGTCCACAGCTAGCTGGTGGGTGGGCCAGTTTCATCACTCAGCTATTTCAATGCTCCGCTCATATCCCATTTCTGGGACACCATATTGCCACTTTGTATAGAAGCCATAAAAATTTACAGGCAGACATGCAAACCACTGTCGTCCAATCATAGCATAAGTTTTCTTTGAATTGCGTTCCACGGCTAGAATTTGACACGTCTCATTATAAGCACTACCCCATGGAGGAATCACGCGCTGGAGAGTTTGTGTTGCATTGAGGAAGGCCAAGATCTTTTGGCAGGATTTGGCCTATTGGTTTGATTTGGAAAGTTCCACATAGCTTTCTGGTACCTCACAAATTAAGGCAGAGTTACTATAATTTCGTTCCTAAGTGTGCCATGTAAAATCAAATTATATTGCATTATGGTTGCTGTAGCTATCCTTAAAAAAATATTTCTATTTTTTAAAACCAATATCAATATATGGAAAAACTCAGAAATAGTCACATGCAGCCAAAGTTTCTGTTTGCCATAAACAGAGAAAAATGTCTTGAATGTAATAAGTTGTTTGGGCAAATCTGTTTTTGTCAGCTGTGACTGACCATCCATTATATCCACATCTATTATGAACAGCATATAATTTAAGAGCAGTGGTTTGTGAAGTATAAGCAAATGCCAAGTTTGGAAGGGAAGCTGAAGTTATTCTGTTAACCAAATATATCTTAAAATACTTCTAATTTTTCAAGAACCTTCTAATCTCTGCATACTTGGCTTTGCAATGTTGCAAAATCAAAATAATTTATTCAATTTAAAATATACAATTCATGGGGGGAATAAAAAGGAATACTTAATTTAGGAATGCTGTGGTGAGAAGATTTCAGAGAAATGTACTAGGACCCAGGACCAAGAATTCAGATCCAATAAGTAATTTAATTATTGAAGAAACTAAAATAGAAACCATGAGAATATGGAAGGAAAATGTATTGAGATGTTAACATTTGCTTTCTTTTCATTCCCATAGAAATAAGAATAAAAGCTATTTGTGCTTTTTTCTATATTTTGATTTCTCCATTCCAAGAAAATTTTCAGGCTCTCAGATTCCTTTTCCTCTTACACATTTGGAAGGCATAAAAAGTGTTTATTGGAGATAGTCTTTTGTCTTGCTCTGAAAGCACAAGAAGATTGTGCTAAGTATATGGGAGTGGAAAAGGGGAGTGCTTTTGAAGGATAGGAGGTGACAGTAGGAGAGAGAAGTGACATTTTCCAACACTGGGTCAAAGGCAGATGTCTGCTGGTTCCTCCAGTATTGGAGATCTATGTTTCCAAGCTACACCACTTTGATGCTGCTGACCTCATGGGGCATGAAGGAAGGATGGTGCCAACGCACCTGAACATTCCAGTGGCCAACAGCATCCAGGATCAGCAGAAGTGCTAGACCTTGCAGGCTTGGACAAAGGACCCCGCAGAAGTGATCCTTATGTCCCAGAGAAAAAAGGGTTTATTTTTTTAAGGTTGTTCTCTACTTTGCATACCTAGATTTAAAAAAAAATTAGGAAAGTATAAGAAGGAACCCCCAAAGTGACTGAGATTGAAATTCCCACCAATCTAGGTTGTGCTCAAAATTAAGTTGCCAGGGAGAAATCTGGTTTAAATAACATGTATAGAAGACAGACAGGTATTTGCAAAATGAAGGAGTCCCCCAAAATATATACATAATGCTAAATATGTTTTATTCTACTTAAATCATCTTAATACTTAATATTGAATTTGGATTATTTGTCAGTAATTGAGCCCTAGAAAACAAAGCAGAACAGCATATGTTACAAGTTAATGCAGGATGTTAAAAGTATTGATACTCTAGCTTTATTTTTGTTAATATTTTTATCAAATGTATTAAAGTACAAATTAAAGATAAGGAAATCACCATTATAAGGTATAGTTCAATGAATTTTGATGAAAAAAAATAGAGCTATATAACTACCACAACCAAGAAGATCTATCACATTTCCATCACCCCAAAAATGTCCTTTTGTAGCCAATTCCTCTGCTTGGCCCTGGCCCTAGGTAACCTCTGGTCTTCTCTCTATCACTACAATTTCTCCTTTTCTAGAATTTCAAATAAAGGAAGTATACAGTAGGCAGTCCTTTATGTGGCTTCTGTCACTTAGCATAATACTGTTGAGATTCATCCATGCTGTTGCATTTATTGGTAATTCTGTAGAAACCTGGGAAGGGTTGGCTTGTCTGCCATCAAGTCAGCTTGCCACTGTTTCAGTCCGGCAGAAGCCGGACTGCCACATCAGAGACGAAGGACTTTGTTACTCATGACACGACAGTAAGCATGAGCTTCATCATGTTCTCTTTGTCCTCCAAGTCCTCAAGTAGCCCGGGAGGATGTGGCACACACCTTGGCTCTGTGTCACAGCTGATGAACCCTGAGCTTATGAGTCTATCAGTCTTATAAGGGGCTGCTAGTGAACCTGCCTAGCTTTGATCTTGGAAGAAGATACTACCTTCTTTATTCAAGTCAAGAAACAAAGAGTGCCACGGTGCAGTTTGAGTAAGTTCTCTTCTGTTCACATTTTGCTAAGAATCTTTACCAGGAACACGTGTTGGAATTTTCTCAAATGCTTTTTTGAACCTAATGATATAATTCTATGGTATTCATTTTTATTCTATTAATATAGTGAATTATAATGTTGTATTTTTTTGGTATTAAACTAACCTGATATTCCTGGAATAAAACCCCTTTAGCAATGCTGGAGATTATTTATTTTATATATTACTGCATTTGTTTTGTTAATATTTTGTCATACATTTTTGTATTATATCTGTTTGCTAGGTTATTGATCTACAGTTTTCTTTTCTTGTTATGTCCTCTTTCTGATTTTCCTAGTAGGACAAGGCTAACCACATTAAACAAATTGGAACATGTTCTCTCCAAATCTATTTTCTGAAAGGGTATCTTTAGACCTAGTATATCTTTTTTCTTAAATATTTTATAGAGTTCACCAGTTAAGCTTCTTGGGCTTGGAAATTTCTTTGTGGAACATTTTTAAACTACGAGTTCAATTTCTTTAATAGTTACATGGCTAAACCCCTACAGATATTTTGCCTACTTGTCTACTTCTTTTATCAGTTACTGAGGGAAGAGTATTGAAAGCTCTATTTGTCTATTTCTCTTATAAATTCTATTGAATTTTGAATTGTCATCTCTGATAATTCTGCTTGAATAATTTTATATTTTTCATTTCTTTCCTCATTCTGTTCATATTTTCCTTTATATTCTTGAGAATAATTTGTAATATTTTTAGTAGCTATTTCAGATCTTTGTTTTGGAGTTACATTGTCCCTGCCCATTGTGCCTGTTTCTAGTGATTGATTTTTCTTCTGTTATGAATCTTACGCTGCTGTTTCTTTGCCTGGTAAATTCCTACTGATTACCAGACATAGTAAATTTTTGGCATCGAATGTTGGATTTTGTTTCATTTCATTAAGAAGCGTTGGATTTTGTACCGGCACGCAGTTGTTTGCAGATTTGTTTGACCCCATCAAAGCTTGCTTTTTAGCTTGAGAACATCAGGAGCACTGCAGTCTCTGCTGTTGGGTTAGCTGTGCCCGCCACGATGGCTACACCCTTTTGAGGACTCTGCATAATGTCATGAGGTTTACAGAGTCTCTTTACTTTGGCTGAGGAAACACAAACTATTCCCATCGCTGAGTTGGGTTTAAGAACTGTGCGGTCAACTACTGTCTGGATGTTCTTTCTGACTTTGTGGGACTCCCCCCACATCTGCTTAGGTCAATACTCAGCCAAATTCTGAGGGGACGCCTCAGTAGTTTATCTCTGGAACATATTCCCACTCTCTGTCCCTTTCTCACTTTCCCCCATCCTCCGTTCTATTTTCTGGTATTTTGTCTTATGATTTCTAGCTGCATCAGCTTCACTGAACTGGACTCTGTCCCCTAAACTTCGCAAGACCAGCGAGTTATCGCTCTCTGCCTTGCAGCCTGCAAAATGCCTCCAGGAAGGAAGTCTGTCCCTTTGTCCCCCTTTCTCTTTTGTTGCATGATGTTCCCTGTCTGATCAGAGATTTTTTTACCTACAATCGAACCTCATTATTTGGGAATTCCATTTTGCTACTTGCTAAAATACATTTGCAACCTCAGAAATCAATACTTTGCATCATTTGCAGCCATGCCCAGGGTGGGAAATATTTGAATTGACCAACACGCAATGTCCCAGCTGAGGGTCAAACAAGGTGACATCTTCCTTCTTGTTTCACTCTCGCACTATAAACAGGTGTCCTTTTTGCCAAACTATTTAGTGTCACTTTTTTGCATCTTTGTGGGTTTGTGTGTGTGTGATGTCACTGTTTAAAATGGCCCCTGGACATGGTGCTGAAATGCTCTCATGTTCCAAAGTGCAGGAAGAGTGGGATGTATCTTAAGAAGAAAATATGTCTGTTAGATAAACTTCATCCAGGCATGAGTTATGCTGCTGTTGGCCATGAGTTCAATGTTAATGAATCAACTATATATATATATATATATAATAAGATGTCTTAAAACAGAAACATACATAAAGCAAAGCTCCATATTGATCAGTTGAAGAGAAAATAGTCACCAGAGCCTCTGGTTTGTTTCCTTTTTCATTATGGGACGTAAAGGTTTATTCCTGGTGGCCTAAAACATAAACACACATGCATTAGGACAATTTACTTTTTAAAAATGTGCATTTAAAATTCCCCATCAGACCTTTCCTCCCCTCAAGAAAAGAGCCACATTGTTTAACACTGAGTAACCTGTTTAATGTATGCAGTCCCTGTTTCTTGTTTCCAAATGTGCACTAGACATGTTGTTATATTTCTAATTTCTTGACACATCAGTAATGAGGCCCTACGCGGGATATATCTCATATCTTTCATCAAACTCAATAACATGTTCACAATCTCCAGACATCCCTATGTCAGTGATTGCCTATATTTAAGTGGGTCTGTGTATGTAACTAGATGTTGATCTCGCTTTTCTTCTTGAGAACTGGAGCTTGTCTTTACTGAATTGTGGCTTTCCTCTAACATCCAGAAGGGAGCCTGCTCTTCTAATGGGGAGTGCCCGAACCCCACAACTCATTCACAAATGCAAACGCTGTTCATACGCACACATTTTTAAAAGGCCTATAAAATTGAGGTGTGTGTGTATATGTCTGTGTTTAAATCACAGACGACTTTATGTGCATATAGAATACAGGTACAAAAGTGAACAATTTTGTGGGCCTTCACAACATCCCCTTCCCACACAGCGAGAATACCTACCATTAAATCCTTTGAGTTAGTAAATTTGTTATTTTTATGTTTTTTAAATTTATTTCAGAATATTACAGAGGTACAAACGATTTGGTTACACAAATTGCTTTTGTACCATGCCCATCTCCCAGATGGTGTGCACTGTACTCGTTAGGTGTGATTTTACCCGTCCCTTCCTGTCCTCCAACTGCTTGACTTCCGATGAACGTTATCTCTGTATGGTTAGTTTCAATTTAATGGTGAGTGCATGTGATGTTTGTTTTCCCATTCTTGTGATACTTCACTTAGAAGAACGGGCTCCAGTTCCATCCAGGTTAACACAATAAGTATTAATTCACCATTTTTTATGGCTGAGTAGTACTCCATGATATATATATATACCACATTTATTAATCCATTTATGTATTGATAGACATGGGTTTTTTTTCCACTTCTTTGCAATTGTGAATTGTACAGCTATAAACATTTGAGTACAGGTGTCTTTTTTTATGGAATGTCTTTTTTTCCTTTGGGTAAATACCCAAAGTAGAACCAAATGGTAGTTCTACTTTTAGTTCTTTGAAGTATATCCATACTGCTTTCCATACAGGTTGTACTAGTTTGCTGTTCCACCAGCAGTGTATGAGTGTTCCTGTCTCTCCACATCCACACCAACAAACATGAAAAATGCTCAACATCTCTAATCATCAGGGACATTCAAATCAAAACCACAATGAGATATCACTTACCTCTAGTGAGAATGGCCTATATAAAAAAGTCCCAAAACAACAAATGTGGGCATGGATGCATAAATTTGTTATTTTTAAAAACCAAGTAACTTTATCATGCTTATACTTTGCAATTCAGCAGTATGCTAGATACAGTATCATGGTAATCATTTATTGTGATTTTCAAGGACAGCTGTGTTCATTTTGTTGGCCTTTTTGTAAATTCTCTATTAGGTGACTTGCTCCAGTGCTTGTTCCAGGAAACGAAGTTGCCCTGTGCCCAATGCAGAGACCCCAAAGTGAGACAATGGTCATTTCCCCTTTAAGTCTGAACTGCCGTTAGATGTGCTGAGGAAACTGAAATTTGAAAGTAAAGCCAGCCTCAAGACTTAAACGTCCTTCACTAAAAGCATGCAGAGATTATGCAATTCTTTTGGTCATGTCTAGTCTCCCCAGTGGTCTAGAAAGGCCCTGCAGAAAGAAGCTAGGGTACCCCACACAGCTTCCTTTCT